AACGTATGCTATTTAGGTAAAGAAAAAGCCAGAATCCCCCAGAAAGATGTATCAATGATGGCAGTTTTCTATTTAACCATATACGAAACACAGAGATTAAGCTTTACTTGAAGACAATGCTGATGACCTCCAAAGATGTGCTCTTTAAAAAAGTTCATATAAAGTTTATGATGTCAGTGGAACTTTGAATTACTACCACTGCAAAGCTTATCTCAGGTCTAAAAACAAAAACCAAGAGATGGTGGCATCTCAGGAGATGCAGATGTGTAACTGGAAAATCATTCACTACACTGTGCAAGCATCTACTCCTCAGTTTGACTGACAGGCTTATTAATTTTAAGAGCATGGGAACATGTTGTGAAAAACTTGGAACTGTCTTCAGGAATGCAGCTGGAGTGCTAGCTAAAAAAACCCTATACTGGTAGATCTACTAGGTTTCAAAACCTAGTAATGAAACGTACAGAGTATTTAATTAGCCCGCGTACAAATGCTTTGAGGTATTTGAAAGTATATATCACTATACATCTATTCTATAATAAATCTACGTTCAAATATTTTAGAGGTTATTACAGTGATGCATATCTCTGGCAGTTGTGGTGTTCCAGCAGCACATAGCAGGACAGGATTCAGCTCTTCCCCCTGCAAAAAGCTATGCGAGTAGCCATTAAGCAATACCAGCTTAATAGAGTATCTCTGCTATTAGCAAGATAAACTCTGTTACAGAGAGCTGTAATAAACCCTGCAATTGGCATGAATGGAGAGAATGGGAAGATGAGCGTAGAAGCACGGGAAGGAACAGCTAAATAAAAGGGCTATGAGAATGGTATGTGTTGACAGCACCTAGATTAGCACATCCCAAAACATCTATCTGCAGCTCCATAGGACACCCAGATCAGGAAACAAAGAACAGGGAGTATGTTCCTAATGATTCACAGAACCAGGACAGGATGGAGTGACAAACTGCTGACAGCTCCTAACAGGTACCAAAAGGCACATCCAAAACAAGCACATAGTCACCATGCTGAGAAGCCGCCAGGAGAAACAATGAGGACTAGATAGCTAATATCCCTTCCCTTCCATATCATCACAAGGAATCCTGGACAGGCCACTTGTATATATGCATCCTGGTGCTTGTGAATATGGATGTGTAAGACAGACAAAATGAGCAAACTTGGTTTTCTTTTAAAGCAAAAAAAAAAAAAAAATCACCTTCCTTCCTATAAAGTCTGGATTAGAGCTCTGCTACATCACTGCTATAACATTTCCCTCTTAGAAAAGTTTAGGCAGAAAGATTCAATCTTGTTAAGGACAAATGTGCACCAGTCCTGTGCTATTTGCATTTCTGTTCATCTTTAAAGATTCCATGGCAGACCATACCAAAAACTAGTTCAAACTCCAGAATAGTATTTAGCCTGAAATTAAACCCCTCATTTCAAGCACCTGTGTGTGCACTAGATGTCTAAGCACCTGTTACAGTCATCAGAGAATAGTAAACACATCCAGAGGAGTGTAATTCAGCTAAATTTTCCCTAGAGCTACCTAAAATACATGCTCTAGCACAATCTGCCTGTCCTCCAGCTGTCACAGGTCACCCGATGCACCCACCAGCTCTCTGCACGCTGTGGACACCCTAGCTGTTCAGTGCCACTTGAAACGTTATACATTCAGGATTTTGAACCAGAGTAACAGATCAACAGGTTTTCTGACTAAGCTACGCCGAATATAATATGAACTCGTACACCTGTGGACATGTTCTGACCTCACAACTTTCTGCATATAATATCCACACGTGGTCACGTTTTATCAGCAGAATACCCAACTGCCTCTGTATTCATTCTGCAAGTTGGAGATGATGCAATTCGCTCCTGAATATAAAAGAATCACTTACAAAACAGCCTTTGGGTGAAGTTTCTGAATTAGCAATTAGAATTAAGAATATTCCCACTGTAATATGGAGCGTGCTATGTCATCAGGCTTTCAAATACAGTGGAAAGAAATGTGGCATGCCACATTTTAAATTACTGAAAGAAGAAACCATTAATTCCAGAAACAAGGTGTGTTAGAAAGACCTGTCTTCATATTTAGTGCCGATTGAAGGAATCAGAGAAACTCCTCAGAACTTCACCTAATAATTTTATCTTTACAAAAATCCTTACCTATAAGCTTGTTTTCCTTGACAAAGCATCTGAATTCTGCACCAGGGATTAGTTCACACCATTTGCGAAGAACAAGCTATAGAGGAAAAACAAATGATAAAGTATTGTTTCAGAAAGGTAACAGGTAACTTTTTGTCAATGGGTATACCTTCTAGATCTACAGTCTTGCTGTAATGATAAGATGACCTCTGAAGTTATTCCTGATACAAGAAAACAAAACAATCTTAACCTGCAGTTCACATAATTATCTTAGCAAATACTTCAAAGCAATTAGACTTAATATTAATTTCATAGAATCACAGAATGCTTTTGGTTGGAAGACACCTTTAAAGGCCATCTAGTCCGAAGTAATTTAAAGTAGAAAGGTTCAGACCAGACATAAGAAGAAACTTTTCCACCATGAGGACTGGTCAAGCATCGGAACAGCTCCCGCATAGAGGTTGTCCGGCCTCCATCCACTGAGATTTTCAGACCAGATTTGATAAAATGCCAAGCAACCCAATTTGATCTCACTGCTTACCTGGCTTTGAGCATGAGAATGGACTAGAAATGCCCCGAGGTCCCTTCCCACCTTAATTATGTTATGTTCTTCCACTTTGTATGGCACTTATAACTGTGAAATTATTTATGAAACAACTTCAAAGTTACATTAATGATAAAGCATGGAAAACAAAAAACCCCTGCTATACAACACAACAAATCTGTCATGGAATTGGCAGAAAGTTGCTCCCTAGTCAAAAGAGCTGATGAGCAGAATTAAATTTACCCAAATCAACCTCTATTCTGGTATACACCCAAGCAGAATTCTGTGATGCCTTTGAAGGCACAAACCAATTAAAATAAGGACATGGGATAGAAATAGTAACCAAACTATTATAGTCAATAGTACAGACTGCTGGTAATTAAAGCATATCTCTGGCACTTTCTCAAGCTTCTGCATTTCCTAAGCTGAAGTATTCAGATTGATCCATTATTGTGAGGGCCTCAATTACTGCTCATGGGTACTGGAAACTCCCAACACCTATCAACCGCAGTAGAAAAACCTCAGTAATTGATGGGGACACTCCTAACTACGGTGTAAACATTAAACTCTTTGTTCCAACTTTCAGATGTGCTGTATTTTTAAAGCACATTAAGAGAGTGCTTTAAAAAAAACAGGGTTCATTCACTTATCTAAAGCCCTTTAAGCCCACAGGATGACGACATATGCTATAGTTACATAAAAATTATTATTCGAGACATGACTAGATGCTATCATAAAAGTGATAGCACCACATGAACAGTTTAAAGCATTGTTAATATCTACGTTGCTAACTTAACATTTTAATCTGGTAACGAGCATACGAAACAAGATATGATAGACTGCTTCAGTTCAGGATGTCCCTAGCCACTACAGCTAGCTTCTCTCTTCGTAACTTCAGTTGTGATATTCACAAGCAGCATACTATCAAGAATATATGACTTTCAGCTACTGAACTTGGCCTTCCTGGCAAAACCTGACAGACATGAGAGAAAGCTGCAAGGAACCTTCAAAAGTCTGAACTTTCATTCATCTCTGATCTGTAATTAAATGAACTCCTTATGACCTGCAGCACTTAACCAGGCTTCCCCACACTGCCCAAGCAACACAATTAAAACAAACAAAAAAAAATTTACCAGCACATACCCAAGCACAAATGGCAACCTGCCTGCGAGCAAATTAATTTAAATTATCTAGAAATCATGCAAAGAGTTCTTACCTCGTAGTCCAAGGAAGGATCAGGGGAATCATCAGTACAGTGAATAAATCTGGAAAAGTAAGGCATAGGCATCAAAATCTGCTTTTACATATAAGATTTTAGCCATAGTGACAAAAATAACCCCAGACTGTGAATCACAAAAGCTACTGTTAAATTATCTCCAAGTCGTACAAACCAAGTAAATTCAATATATCAGTAACAAGCCTGCTTTCGACAATTATTGGGGGGGAAAAAAAGGAAAAAAAATTCTCCTCTTTTCATCTAGTGTAATTTGGAAGCACTTAAATTTGGACAGGGACATGGCTAAAATGTGAGTGTTTATTCATTGTTGAGGTTTTTTGTTTGAATCAACAGTGCTGCTCCTTTCCTCTTTATTGCTATGTTGGCATAACTGGATTCTCAAAGAAACAGATAAAGTTGAGCAATCCAATCTAGTTTCATTGCAGCATGTTTTCCCTAGTACTTTTAATGTTTAGCTTTCTAAACCACACAACAGAGACACATTGTCATGCCTTACAGCAGTTCATTTCCGTGAGTAAGGGATGCAAACCAGCACCAGTCGGCACTTCTGATTCCACAGCGTGGTATCTTTCTAAATTAAGAGCCTTAAGAAATACTCTTACGAATTTCTTGAGAGTGGGAATAAACATAACTATTTCCATAACTGCAAGCAGATGTCAAGGTTTTGTCCCTTGTGAGTAACTGATTCTCTGTGCCACCTTTCAGGAACTATCAAAAAAGGAAGCAGTTATACGCAAGCCAACTTCTATGTATGCTTTTGTCATTTTACAGCAAACCTAGCAGTAAATCCTGTAACTTTCACAGGGAATTAGCAAAAGAACATGCGTTTTCCTTCCAAGTGTACTCCCTGACCTTACTGGCAACAAACTACTTTGATGCACAGAAGAACTGTGTGAAGAGTCACTGCTGAGCAATAGTCTTAAATGGCAACGTTTATACTATCTCCCTTTGGCACTCAACTTGGTTAAGCAATCCAAAAGTCTAACATCTCTAATATAAGCATTGTGTTTGTAAGTCATGGCTGCCCAGCCTTTGGTTTGAAGCAAAGGGCTATCCTAAGAGTTCATTAAGTATGCTGCCAGCAGAAATAAATTTCGCACATTTTAGTTTAGACTTTAATATCCCACTACACACAGAAAAGAAGGGAGATAGCAGGCATGCTTTCCAGAAATACTGTAATCAAACAGATCATATATATTTGTAAGCCTATGTAAACAGATAACATCCTTCAACTACAGTTTATATTCACCACAATTTAAGATCTGTCAAGGCAATACAAAACAAAAATCGTGACAGCCTGCAGTTTTTCTAGACGAAAAATTCCTCCCTTACTAGCATAGATGCCTACTATACTCAAGAAGATATCACATACACACACACACACACAAAACCTATGGGTAACAAAATTCTATGATTCTATCCTGCTAAGAGAGCCATGAACTCATTTGCAAATCACTGAGATTATTCTGTGGATAATAAACTGTTATGAATATAATGAGAATTGTAAAAGTTATTCTGTACCTGACAGTTCTCCTGCTATCATCTCATAGTTTATTTTAAAACCTTAATTAAAAAAAAAAAAAAAAAAAATCAAGGATAAGCTTCTAACAGCCTTTGAACTGCATCTTTGTTTTTGTAATATTGAACCTTGCTGGAACTTTAAGGACTAAAAGAAATAGGAAATTCATGCACCATTCAAAAGAGGATCTTGTACTACACTGTAAATTGCTAGGAAAAAAGGGATGCGAGTAAAACCTCAAGGGGAAAAAAAAAAAACCCAAACCCCAATAAAGGCCTCATTTTCCATATCCTCTCATGTGGAACTGTCTACCTCAAAATAGGTTATAATAAAGTCTAAACCAACAGCTACGGTTCTTGCAAAAAGGTCTCCCAAGTCCCAAGTCACGTCTTTATGAGCCAACACTGCCTCCTACGTTCTGTTAGGAGAACACAGGCTGTTATTCCTCCAAATCTCAGAAAACCTTCATAATTTCTTTATAATTTGTAATTCAATATTTAGAAGCATTAAGTGTGGTATCAAAAATGTAGTCCGAATGCTAGCTTAAAAACAAAAAGGATTGAAACATCTGCTAGGTTTTAAAGTCAAACAATGTGCTTAGGAGCCTGGTGAGCTAAGAGCAAGTCTGCAAGAGCAGACTTTCACAACTGTTCTCAGAAACAGGCACTTAAAATGTAACCAAGCCTTCTTATAAACACCTAAATAATAAAAAAAAAAAATCCCCTCATGTTCCTTTGTATCTTGCACATTAATATATTTGGAAACTTCTCCTTGGCCCAGTGGGAGTTGTTTCACGTGCTCCATTAACCTAGGAGATATTTCTTCCCTACTAAATGTGGCATAGATGGTCCCTTCACTCTGTTTCCTGGGCTTAGGGAGGGTTGAGTGGCTACCTTTAGGTTCCTTACTTCACCTGTCTAACCAGCTTCTCGAAAAGTTTCCAGGAATGAACTTCTGGAAGTAACAGGTCCATAGCACCAGCTGATCCAATAAAATACTGAGAGTCAATTTACAACACTTAAGTGCACATCAGAACTTGCAGATGACTCATGCTGCCCCTCTATAATAATTCAAAGGATAGTCCCTGCAAAAGATGTTCTCTGCATTAGGTTGCTTTTCAACAAGGTTGCACTTACAGGCCTTCTTATTTTACCTGTACAGTTGTGATTATTAAACAGCAGGAAAAAAAAAAAAAAAACAAAGCCACTTCAGCATTCAAAATCCAAAGAGTAGCATCTGCAGGTTTAAAACATCCAGTATTGCCCTGTAGAACAGGAATGATCTCCCAAGTTTGACAAAATTTCCAAGGTTTATTAATGAGCATGATATAACAACAAGCTGGTCTTATAATTTAAAGGGCATTTAGAACTACTGTTAATATTTATACTGGTCTCAAGGTGGGCAATCATGTCTTAACTAAATGTAGTCCACACATTCTAACGATAAGGAAGAAAACTGTGTTCTGAACCAATACACTCAACAGGGCTTTAAAAGCATTTTTGTTCAAAAGAGGAGTTTTCATCACTTAACAGAAATCCCAGTTAGAAAGGGCTTTTTTTTTTAATCACATATCCACAACCCTAAGTTTTTGAAAGCCTGCGTTAAAACCTGAAAAGTTAAGGATCACACCACCCACAAGTTTTTTTTGTGAACTCAGCTAAGTAAAATGCAATGCTTACCAAAGTAAGCAGAAACAACATCAACTACATTAATGAGTACATCACTCTGAAGTCTTTGTTAATTTATACAAAATTATCAAGGAGGAAAGTTAATTCATTATTCTGAACTTTTCAACCAAAGTGTCAACACCATGAGAGAATCCAAACATTTAAAATAGTCAAAGCTTATCTAGTCATGCTCAGTATATTTGCATTAAGGCCATATTTTTTAATGGTTTGTGTTGAAGTACTGCATAGCTGAAGTTTTCTCGGAACTTGAGGCAGTTGAGAATTACAGCAAGGGCAGTTCCCTGACCTGAACCATGTATAGATCGATACCAGATAAGCAGATAGGAAATGGGGGAGGAAGGACGAGGCAAAGGAAGTGGTTTGCCTGAAGTCCCACATCCCTGGCAAAGCTGGATTAAGAAACAGATCTTCAAATTGCCATTGCAAAGTCTTTTCCATATTATGACCCATGAAGTGGATTTTTAACTTAATAGAATTGAATAGAAAACAAAACAAACAAAAAAAGGGTATACAACATTTCAGCTGTTACTCATGCAGGGCAAGAAACTTTTAGACCATACAGAGTGTTAATGAAAGAAGTAGAAACATAGTACATTTACCCTCCCTCTGAGCAGCCCTTCCAAGGGATTTGGATATATTATGTATCCAATTTTCATTTGTTCAGCACTTCAGGTTCCTATGCCAGCTACATTTTTAATTTCTGCTTGCTAAGGACTAGGGAACTGGCAGCTGATCAATAATATAATTGTTCTGATTCAGCAATAATCGTTTCACTGTTTGGGTGGGGACATTTTGTACAAATAACTTAGTAAGTTAGAAATACTGTGCACAGACTGGACAATAATGTGCTTTAATCAAGTACAACATATGCATGAAATAAAAGATACATAGAACCACAGTGATTTTACACACTACACATGTCCCCCCAGTCCTAAGTACAACTTCCATTCAAATTCACGGAAACCACAAGGCTGCACTGCCCATATTAACTCTACCTTACCAAAACAACAAAGCCTGTTCTGACAAAAAAAAAAAAACCAAACCAAACCAAAACAACCCATAACCCAAATTTATACCAACATTAGATTACACTTGATAGGAAGGAAAATAAATACAACACTTCTCACATGAAACTTAACCTTTAGATTAGGTGATGATCCCACAATCACGTCACAAGGTTTGCTTATTTACCACCCACTAGCTGAGCTGTGCTATCTGGCGGTGCGTGTGGTCTTATCACACTGGAAAAGGAGTCTAAATGGATTGGACTAATGCACTTTGAGGTGTTGTCTTTCTGCTAGAGTTTATTCTCCCACAGCGGGATCAGTAGAAGAGAGCGCGCCTCCTACAGGCTGCTCAGCCACTACTGTTCTTAGTCTGCTGTGAACTTAAGCTGAAATTACTGATGGTTCAAGTTAACACCCGTGTTGTGAAATCTCACAACACAGGAGCTAGAATGCATTCATTGCCTCCACCACTAACTCAGCGCCGCCTGCAGAGGGCAAGGTGAATAGCTGAGGCACTAACTTTACCTGATATAAAACCTGACAGAAAATACACTGCTTTCGGTCTCAGTGAAGGTGGTCAAACCAACTCACTCTACCGTACAAATGGCGTAAGCTAAGAGCACAAATGCACGCACAGAGTTGCCACATCTTTTAAATCAAGTGGTGCTTGCTAAACACTTGATTGTGTCCCAAACTCATTACTAAGTAGTTAAGCAAACAGGAATTCTCCAAGGAGCTCAGGGTACTTTTTACTGAACCTCTTTATACATGAGGATAGTAGAATACAAAAACTGTATTATTTAATATTCACAAAGGGATGATACAAAGTGTACAGTTCTTTTCAGACCCACAAGACTCAGTCCTGAAAGCAGTTACAAAGAACACATTAAATTTTAGTGCTCAACCCTCTGAACAAACCATCCTCAAGACATCTGGCTAAGTCACTTAGCCTCCCATTAGGGGAAACCATGAAAAAAATTTCCTTGGTAAGGCACCAAAGTCTTTTGAGAATCACTATTCACTCACTCTGAAATGTAGACTATAGATTTCTCATCTCCCTGATCCCTTTCATTCTCTATGATCCGAGATCATGAATTCTCAATGCTTACAATTGTTTCCCTAGTCCAACATACTTTTCAAACTGCCTTCTCACTCCAACATCTTCTTCCCTCCTTCTCAGTCTCTTCCTCTGCACCTCATAATGTTGTAGGTTAGACATAATGTAAAACCTAACATCAGAATTGGACTGACAGCGTTGCCAGCACTCCATAAATGCAGAGGTAAGGACAAGGCTGTTGCTACCTGTCATTTTTTTAATGTACCAACAAGTTCAGGGAAAAGACTGTTATTACAGTTGCAGGAATAAAAAAGAAGGCAGCTGCACAGTATTAATGCAACTGGTTTCACATTTTAGACAAGACAATTCTTATCAGGTCATAACACAGGACTATTATGCTTGGTAGCCCTCTATAAAGCACCTTGAACAAGTGCCCTGCATTTGACTGAGTCTCCTGAATATTGCAGTAATATAAATAAGCATTGAATAATTACTGGAGAGCAATCTCTCAGATTCCAAGCCATGGATTGTCCTTTTTCTTTGAAATTCTGCTTTTCTGAAAAAAAATATTATTAATAATAGTAACAAGAACATTAAATTCCAGTAATTTTATTTTCTTTCAGAAAAAGGCTGTATTTTAGAAATGAGTGACATGAATTAGATGCAGGTACTACAGGAGAAAACTGTTCCCATATAATTAAGTACTCTCTTCATGTGAGCAGACAAAATAAACCCCAAGCACATGGTATTGTAATTTTATCTGAAACTATTATGCCTAGCCACAGTTCCTGGAGTACATTTGTTCAAGAGCTACAAGAACTTAGGTTCAGAAGGAGCTCTAGGAATACATAAGCAGAAGTCTCAGGCATCTTCCAGGCAGCCACACAAACTTCAACAGCTTTAAAATTTGTAAGGGACATGGTAAAGTCATGCTGTATTACCATGAGAAGTGGCAACAATAAGGTAGGTAAGCAACAGGTAAATGCCAACAGGGGTGGGAAGGCAAAAAAACCCCAAGATTAAAACATCACTTGCTGTGGAAGGCAACTCAACAAAACCAGTCTTAGTCCATAGTGTCATTTCACATGTACTACTTTAATATAATGTCTTCCTGTTTTGCTTTTCACTCATTTGCATATTAAAATCAAGAGAATTAATATAAGAATAAAATGGAGACTGCTCCTCTCTTGTTAACCAAAATGAGGTAAACAATTCTGGTTTACTAGGAAAGACTCACTCACAATTAGTAACAATGAAGATAATCTGCCTCGCAATTCTCTGCACTAAATTGGACCTGGCATTTACTTTTGCACAGTGTAGGGAGACGAAGAAGAAGGAGGGCAGGAGTCAGGGGAGCTTCAAAGAACTTATTACTGTACCTGAAGCTTATATCCCTGTACCTGAACAACTTTTAAACATGAATATGTATTTTCATATCAGATATTTATCATTACTATAATACAGTAAAGAGTGAGATCTTTCAACAGAACTGAAAAGTTACCCTCAGAGGGCTGAGGGTTTTTTTGACTCAATATAAATAAGATTGTCTGCTAGAAATCCACTTACGGTTGAGTGAGGTCACGGGTAATGAAGTCTGAACTCTTGAAGAGGAGGAAGATGTCACTGAGAGCTTTACATTTTAGAGAGCTGTTCATTGCTATCCAGTAGGCATCCTAAAAAAAGAAAAAAAAGATTATCCAAAAATGCACTTTTACTAGCAAGAGGGAATGCAAGCTGCAGATCTAGTAGCACTAAATATTATGCAACATTTGAAATACATGCAGAAATCTATTTTTTTATTTTCAGGAAAGCTTAATTAGCTGTTAAAAGAGACACAATTGTTACTGCTTTTCTTATGAATACTCTGTTGAAAGCAGAGCAAATCCATTTTTCAAAATACTAAGTTTTTGCCTTACTGCTTCCAGGCACTTTCTTAGAAGGCTTGATTGAACACAAGTTTCCCTTGAGAATATGATGCAAAAACATTGGGGTGCACCATCTTTAAGGTATAGTTAGAGTACCTAAAAATAGCTAGAGGGAAGCTTATTGCTTTTTTAAAAACTGTGGGGTTTTTAATCTTTATCTGAGGCAAAGTTTTCAACTAGTACCCTAACTGAGAAGAGTCTGACCATCCTGTGACAAGGGTACAGAGTTTTACATAAGACCAACCTGTGACAAGGGTACAGAGTTTTACATAAGACAGTGCTGTCTTGCATCAGCCTCACCAAATACTGCACCATCTAGCTCTAACCCACCAGAACAATTCACTGATATCTTGACTATCACTCCTTCCTTTATCAGAACCACTAGCCTCTTCTACTTTCCAATGCATTAATATAAACCAACCAAACAAAATCCTTATGTTAACACCTGTTACAAGTTTTGGGAGTCAGCATTCTTACCCTTGGCGCACTCCAGTTAAGTTTAGGAAAAACACTACCACCCAAGGAACTTATTGCTTCTTGAACTTTAGCTGTAAACTCGGGAAATTCTGGTGCCTAAACAAAGAACAACAACAAAAATATCAACTTCAATACATTTAATAGTGAAGTGTAGCCATTTTCTAAAAACCATTAGAAATACATATTGTAGAAGGAATAAATGTGTCCAAAATCAGGAACCAAGAACCCCACAAAAATAATTTATTTATAGAAATAAATCACTAAAGAATCAACTCCGACATTCTTTCAGTCAGAGAAAATTGAAAATATGTTTCCAGTTCTCACTCTTATTACTAGCAAGATCCTATGAACTTCAGGGGAAAACCCGGAACTTCATAACATTCATCATGAAAGCTGCAACAGCTGGCAAACGTGCAAGTCAAATAAACAGACCTTAAATACATACCTATTGTTTTATACCTGATAGTAGATTACTGCATACAAATAAGATCCAAGAAGATTTAAAAACAAACAAACCAACTCACTTTCAAAAATAGTTTGCTTAGAATTAAGCATCTCTCTACAAAAATCTAAAATAGAAATATCGTAGCATTCTGTCAAAGTATTAAAAGGCAGAAAGAAATCAGTTCCGTTTTGTAATAGTTCTCTAGTTGCATTTAGAAACACAGTAAGAGAGCAAAAGTAAATAAATCAGTTTATAGGCAATTTGAGTGACAGCTCCTCATTTAAGCTTTAGTTTTATAAAATGTTGTTAGTAATACTTTAACTAATCAGCTCTTAAATTAGGTCTTAAAGTAGCTCCTTAACAACATATTGCATCAAAATAGAGGACACACTGCAAAGGTATGGGTTGGACTAGAAAACCTTGTCTTGTAAAGAACATTGTCAATATTGTAAACGTAAGATAGGGGAATGCTATAAACTCCACTCTGAATGTGGTACAACAATAAAAAAAACAGATTGCTGACCTTTAAAATAATATGAAAGGATTTCAGGCATATGTCAAAGATTTTTCATGTAATAGGATTTATAGCAAAAAGCATATAAGAACACTATTTCTGCCTGAGTATTTTTAAACTCAACTCAAAGATAACTCCTAGGCTAAGGCTAACTGATTTCTCTAAAACAACAAAGCCTTCACAGCCACACAAATGACCAAAAAAAGTTCATACGTTTTGGCATCTCCTGTCTGCAGCCCCCCCTCAAATGCAAACGCTACAAAAAAACCTCTCACATTTTAGCGCAGTGACCTAGGCGGAACTTCAAATATTCTGAATCTTTCCTTAGTACATTACCTAGTCTCCATGGGAAACTACAGTTGAAAAACTGAAAAAGCACTTCTCCTATTTTACTTTATTTTTAGAGCTTCAGTCAATTCTAGAAATGGTTCCTGCAAGAAGTAAAACTCTGCATCCACTGCGTTCTGATCCAATCTCTTGTTTTGACAGAAGTCAGGAGTCATGCTATATATGTAATACCAGCACATACTAAGCCTCCCTGGATTAATGTTACCAGCATGTCATTAGATTAATCCAAGTGAAGAAATACACACAAGAGGATAGCTCTAAGGCTGCATAAACAAGCTAGATTGTAACATTTCCTAAATTCTGAATGCCTGATTTTGCAACCATCAATATTAATGCGTGTTTTTTTAAACACAGAATTTTCTGTAATCCTGTACTCCAATTCTTCTTCAGAATATAGAAGGGGCAAAGGAAACAAGTTCTACCTGATGACTCAGGTGAGTCATCAAATCAGAATGATCACAACCACAGCCCACCTTACTGCTCCCTGAGCTAAGAAACCAATAGAGAATTATAACCTGGGATTTATCATTAGCAAGATACAAATGCCCTAGGCTGACAGCAAATGCAGAAGACCAGTCTCCAGCTTGTCCCACTATTCTTTACACATTACGTTCCCTAGTGTCTCCCTGTTCAGCTTCCACATCACTATTTGATCCATTTTCATCTCTTGCAGTAACTCCAGATGCAGCTCCCCACCCTTCTGTGTTCTACACAGACTGTTTCTTCACTCTCTTCATCGCTGTCAAAGTGGTAACAGGCAACACTTAAAAGCACAGAAAACTATTTCCATTCACTCACTGGCCTCGGAGCAGTCCCTAGTTTTCAGGTAGAGAAAGCGTATTTGCCATGGACGGAGTCTTCAGAGCAATCATCTACCAAATGAATGAGTTGGTAAAGAGTACATTGTGAAATTCTACTTTTAGAGTCTCTTTCTTTGACCAAATGTAGGTGTATTTTTGTAGGAACTAGCCATGGGCACAGACCATGTTCATTATTAACCATTTTCAAAGTTCCAGGTTTGGCAAAAGACAAAGCCCTGCCAGTCTCCGAACAAGAGCCACCTTGGAGCACAAAACACCTCTCTTCTTCCTCTACCCCTGCTCTTATTGCTGAGCATGATGTTATATGGTATAGAATATCTCTTAAGACAATTTGGGTCAGCTGTCCTGGCTCTGTCCTCTCTCGTTCTCTTGCCTACCCCTAGCCTAGTCGCTGGGGAAGGGTATGGGACAGATTGGGAAAAGAGAAAACCTTGATGCTATGCAAGCACTGTTCAGCAATAGAATCACAGAATCATAGAATTGTTTAGGTTGGAAAAGACCTTTAAGATCATCAAGTCCAACTGTCAACCTAACACTGCCAAGTCCATCACTAAACCATATCCCTGTGCCACATCTACACATCTTTTAAATATCTCCAGGGATGGTGACTCAACCACTTCCCCGGGAAGCCTGTTCCTGTGCTTGACAATAGCTGAAAGTTAACTCCATCCCAGCCAGCCCCAGTAAAACATTAGCTGTAAAGCTGCAATCCATACAGAGAACACAGTGCTTACCTAGCTACACTGAAATCACTTGGCCTATACCCTTCTGATGGGTATCATACCTCTTGATTATGTATTTCCTTACTGGGTTGTACACTATAATGAAACCTGATTCAAAAGTCTGATATTATTTCTTTAGCAACATTAACATGAGCCTTGCAAAAGATAAGATGGATACCAAAATCGGCGTTCTGAATAATTTACAATCTAAGGCATCTACTTTATCAAAGATTAGATAATTGAACTGAAGCTATCAGTGTGTGCAAATTTGGCACGTATTAGTTTTAAAATCTAGGCTATAAATTTTGTGCTAGCATACGCACAACCCAAACCAGGGCTGTGTTTATATTGCACCTAATCCAATGTGAGCAATTCAACACTATGTTGAACATTAGGGAGCTAACAGGACTGAAGTAACAGTATCAATGGCAGACAAGCAACGCAAGTGTATTAACTCCGACAATGATAGGGCAACAGCAAGTTTCAAAAAAGATGTAAAAATGATTAAGGAAGCCTGGTTCCTATCTATCATGATCCTGATTCTAAGCCAGGCACAGTGCAAGGAGAGCATAAAGACAGGAAAAGGAGAAGAAAAAAAAAAAGATGATAGAAAGAAATGTACTTAGGAGGAAGTAATGGCACAGGTGTAAGAGAAGAACTGCGAAAATTGAGCTGCAGGGACTTCATTTCTTCTGCATCTAGTCTGATTAAGTAATTGGGAGATATTCAAAGTGGTGAAAATGAAAGACAGCTATATTTAGATCCATATTTCAGTTCATTTCCTATAGTCTAACAAGTGTGTGATTGTTGGGGATGAAGAAAAGCATTTCATTTTTAGTCAAATAAAATTAAGGCAGCAAAACTTTTTAAAGTTACAGACATCTACACTGCCATCCGTCTAGAATGGTCTGAAAAATGTTAAATAAAGCAACAGATATCTCTAACTGCCAACAAGTTTGTATCACAAGGTTGCAGAAAGGATACTGCTGACACACGTTAGGCTTCTACAGGACCTTACCTTAAGTGTTGTAGTATTCTCATCATCTGACCACTGTTAAAAATAAGAACAAATCAAAGGTTACTGGTTTCCTGAGACATCCTTTATAATTTATGAGAACATCAGAATTCATATGGCTTCCTACAACACATAGAAATCAATCATTGCCCTGGAGCTCCTGTAGCATAACATCACCATCCTCCAATTATTATGGTTGTAAATGAAGACAGGACAAATATTGTATATTCAGCAGAAGTACTATTCTAAAGCATGGATAAAAGAAGACATCTATATATTTGAATTGTAATTTATATCACAAACTTGGACATTTCAGAACTTGACAGAGCCTTCCCTGGCTAAAGCTTGTCTCCAGCTCCAGCACTTCCATCTTTAGAGACACGATCCATTAGTTTCACTTATATTTCTTTTTCATCTCCTTTTGGTACCTTCTATCACCTTGTGCTTACAACATTTTTCAGCGTTTTTCTTCTAGAACACCCTCTGAGCTATTATGGCCTCAGAAACTTTCACTGTTTCTTGAAATAACTCCTCTAAATGTACTCCTCCTTCTAATTTTTCAGGGCATGAAACAGCATTAAGTTCAATTCCAACATCCTTCAATATTCCCTATTCATTATTACAAATGCAATTATCAAAAAATAAAAAAATAAAAAAGTCTTCTGTGAAAGAGCATAGAAACATTTGAAACCTTCCCTGATGTCACAGTATAAATAATGATATTTTAAAGTTTTTCAGGGCAACTACCACATGATTATTATTTTTGTGAAGTATTCTCCTCACATATAAATTATGCAGGAAAGGTTACACATTCATATTTTTCTCAAGAGACTTGACATTAAGTTGCATTTTATACTGACCTGTATTTCCTCTGCATCATCACTCCCCTCCTGAGCATGACTTGGCGGATCTTCTCTAAAACAAAAAAATTAGCAGGAAAAAAAATTAAGCCCCGGAGTCTGACTTCACCATATACATTACATTTCCACAGCATCTACCAGCCGTTGATCTCAAAATGTTTCATAAGAAGATTAAGCCTCAAAACCCCTGGCAAAGAAAAATCAGAGCAAGCCAGTACAGAAAACTGAAGACCAAACACCCTGGCATTAGATTTGGGCACTACCCAAAACACGTTGCTTCTTTCAAATTAGCAGATCACTTTCTGCTCTGAAAACGCCATCACTGAAGCTTTTCAACACCCTATTAATCATTCTTTTCCAACTTTACTGTACTCCCACAGAAGCACAAATTAAACAAACTTCTTTTTTTAAAACAAGTTCAATTTAAATTATGCTTTGCCTCCATACTCCTTTTCCAAGTAAAAGTTTTAAAAACTTGAGTTTCAGATGTTGACCCATGAATTTCCGGTTCTGAAAAGAAAATGTCCTTATACTTGGCACACAGAAGACCTTACGGAAAGTGGATATGCAGTCATTAGCTGCTTCCTCCTGAACAGTTCCTTTTTCTACATAGGTGAGATCTGCTGTTGTAAACATTAGCATATCTGGGAGAACGCACTTGATTGCAAATATTCCTTTGAAGTTTTAGGTGACTTTTTAAGTTCTTTAGCCAATGTAACTAAGTGTGAAGATATTAAAGGAGAAGACCAAGCTCTTGAAGACGACTTATTCACAGCAAGTCAGTGTAGCAAGCACGGTAAGTTCAAATGTACGTCCCTGCCAAAAGCCAACTCTTCAACAAGCTAAGTCTCTGCAGTCCCTTCATGCACTTCCATGGGGTTAAACTATCAATTCAGTTTTTGAGATCTAGAGGTCAGATACCAGTTCACTGAAGACTAAAAGCAATCTTGGCCTTGACTGCAAGAAGGTAACATTCACTTCTAGCCAAGAAAGTTCAACTCGGAGAAAACATGGTTTCTAAGAGGGATTTTAAATGGGAAACATCTTAAAAAATGTAATTTAAGTCATTTATACAGCTGTCCACTATTCCATCAAAGACAGCAGAAATTGTTTGTATAACGTAGCTGTAAAGTCAAACCCTCAGTTTCAGCTTTTCTGAAGGCTTATTAAAAAATAAATGGCTGCTGCTAAACAAGTTGCACAATTCTGTAGAAGCAGGTGACAATATTACTTTCTATCCAAAATGGTTTTAAAAAGAATTCTAATTTTCTGGATACCTTTTATTAAAAAAAATTTTTTTTAAAAAAAAAAAAAAAAAAAAAAAAAAAAAAAAAAAAAAAAAAATTAGAAAAGATCTTTCACCTTTACAAGGCGTTTTAAACAGCTTCAATTTTATATACATTGACTCCTGAGAATTTAGACATAGCTCCCTTACACTCACAGCCTAATTGGGTGCTCTGTGAGAGGCAAACTACCAGGTAGGAAATGCTGGAGTCTGGGCTGGTTTCTGGGTCTGATCACTAACAAGATGTACGCATGCAATAATCATTTTACAAGGAAGCCATACAGTGAGATTCTAAGCAGAAAACAAAGAACAAGGCCTGGGTTCTTACCAACTGTTTCTCATACCTATCCACCTCATTCTTCTCCATCTGAAATCTTGACATAGGTATACACACAGGACATTCAGCCTTGTCATATGCATGGATTATATGCATGCAAATGATTATACAAACTCAATAATTACTAAGATTTTATATATAGCTTATCTTATTGAGAATTAAACTCGCGTAATGTCACTTCACCCCTGGATAAGGCAGCAGGCACGTGAATGGTGTGGGACAGGTCAAGCCTCTGAGCTGGAGCTAACCGCATCAAAGCAACCAAGCACAAACCAGCAGCCTGTGCACCCGAGAGACTGGTAAGCTCCGCACGGAAAGGCGGAGAAAAAACAATGAAAGAACTGTCTCCACTTGGTCTGGAATGAAGTCTTATTACATGGATTTGGTGGTGAGGCACTGGAACAGGTTGCCCAGAGAGGTTGCGGATGCCCAGTCCCTGGAAGTGTTCAAGGCCAGGTTGGACGGGGCTCTGAGCAACCTGGTCTGGTGGAAGGTGTCCCTGCCCATGGCAGGGGGGTTGGAACAGATGAGCTTTCAGGTCCCTTCCAACCCAAACCATTCCGCAATTCTATGATTTTAGGCTCTGCATCAGGCACCAGCAAGTCAAGTTTTACTAACAGCAACTATCAGCCCAGTCACATGCCTATACAGTACGAGGTTTACTGCAGCCAGACTGGTCAAACTTAAAAAACTCATTATGCAAAATATAGTATGTGTATACAAAATAGCGCTGTGCATATAAAATAGTATTAATACTTGGAGGGTGGGGGGAAAACACTCTTTACCTTCCAGAAACCACAAGCGTTCCATCATCCAGCAAATATTCTTTCACATTCTCTGGTAGGGGAAGTATAACACTGGAAGAAACATGAGAATTTCTTTAATAATTTATTATTAATATTACTTGTTAAAATAATAACAAGAGTTGAAAAAAAAAAGAATTTGTTTTTTAATAGAACATACCTCAATAACAGTACGTTTTATTCTCTAACACTATGAAAAAACCCATTTCTCTTTCTCCCATCTCATCCCTTCCCAAAAAGCAATGGTCATTTTCCCTCCAGGGAAGGAGAGGAGAAAGAGGCAAAAATTTTAGACAAAATGCACAAAAATACC